TTTTGAAATAAATGTTTTTCACTTTATTATTTTGTTTATTAGAATCTCAATTTATTTTATTTACAACAGTAATTTAAGTTCCTTCAACAAACATATTAATATTATAATTTTTAGTACTTACATTCAATTGCGCAATATCATTTTTCAGCCGCGTAACCTCTTTCATAGCCTCATCCAGTAGTGAAACATCGCCCATCATGGAATCAGCCAACTCTAGTGAACTTGTCGGCTCAGCGAGGAGCATCTGTAATGATTCGTGTTCCTCCACACATTTCGCTAATTTCTCTTCTATGGTAGTGAGTTCTATTTTTTTCTTCGGTATGTCTGCTTCCAGTTTAGCCACAGTTTCTACGACGGATTTTATATGCAATAGATTTTCATATTTTTTCTGTTCTGCTTTTAAAAGCTTTTCTGTGCGTTTTATATTCTCTGGCAAACGGTTAATCTCATCAGATAGCTCCATCGTAATATCGGAAGCCTTTAAGCATATAAGCAAAAATATATATAAACTAAAATAATTTCAAACAATGTTCAATTATATTGATTGACATGCCTCATTATCAGTCATATCTTTATGACATAGCGGGCAACACGGCTCCTCTGTGACCTTTTCTATGTATCTGTAAAGACGAGAAACAAATATTTTGTATAAACAAAAAACCTAATTTAAAGGTAACCACAAAACATTACTCACTTTTTATACATGGCCTCGGCAGATAGCAAGGCGCCATGTTCCAATTGGTATTTCGCCATGGTAGCTTTGCTTTTCGCTAACGTATCCTCGTATGTTGCAGCATGGCACGCTTCGTAAACTTTCTCCTTTGACTCTTCCAGTTCTTTTTCTAATTTCAATAATTCTGCTTTAAGGTTTTTCCGCTTTATCTCACATGACTGCTGTTCCAACTGTAAGTTATTGGATTTCCCGTTTAGCTCCTTAATATTATCACGTAATTTTTCGCTACACAATTGCATTGCGCGCTTGTAATTGAACTCCACAGGGCGACTGAGCAATTTCTTAAAGTTCTCTGCATGTTTGCCTTTTACACGCTTTACGTCCAGCTCTTTCTTTTCCAGCTCTTTTTGTTTCAACGTAATTTCAGCCGTTAACTTGGACATCATGTTCAATTTGGTTAGCCGCTCGTCTAATTCACGAAATTGCTCTTGCAATTTTACAATTCTCGCTTTGTTTTCAGCTATATCAGCGCGCATGGTTTCCTGATTRCATTTACTATTCATTTCATCCATCATTTTCATAAGGCGTTCAATATTTTCGGATAAAATTTTTATACGTCGCGCAGAGGTCTCTATTTCGGMAATCTCTTTGGTAATGGTTGTCAATTCTTTTTCATTGAGTGTTTTCTGTTTTTCATGTGCGACAATGCCTTCTTCCACYTTAGTGAGTTCCACACGCTGCGTATCTATTTCTCGTTGCCGTTCACTATCATCTTTATCAGTTTGCGCCACACTCTCCGTTATACTGCACTCTTTATTCAGCAATGAGTTTTCGATTTTTTCCAATACACCAGGTACACTTTCGGGTTGAAATTCCAAATCCTCGGTAAGTGTAATGCCTAATTGTTGACAAAGTGTTTTTAACTGCTCGGCACGTTTTGAAATGCATTCTTGTTCTTTTTGCCTTTGTTGCATTAACAGTATGCGTCTTTTATCCAAATCAGTAAAGTTTTTTTGTAGCGTTTTTTCTTCTTGCTTCAAACTATCCACCCTTTTGTCAAGCACATTGCGGTGTTGGCGTTTTTCAAGCATTTTTTGACCAAAATCACTAATTTCTTGCTCTAGTTCTTCGCGGCTACCTTCGTATGGCACTTTTATATTGCTGCTTAAAGCCAATATTTGCTCCTGACAGTTCTTTTGCCTGCATTAAGTATATTTATGTTGTGACAAAGTAGGTTTACTATTTTTAATTGTACTCACTCGGTTTCGATTTCGACCTTTTTCGCTTGATGCTTGCCCACTTCATACTCGACGTTGCGTATCTCCGTTAAACGGGCATCGATTGGCTTCATTTCAGCGTCACAACGTTCGCACTCTTGCTCTATAGCTGCACACTTCTCTTGTGCCTTCTTCAAAGTAAGCGACTTATCATCCATTTCTTGTTTTAAATGTACAAGTAGGCGTAAGTCTGCCTCTATTGAATATATTCAAACRAAGAAGTATAATTTTTAATATCATAATGCCTAGCGCAATAAATAGCTTAGAAAATTATAAAATTTCGTACCTTTAACTTTTAAATTTTCAGCTTCCTCTTTGCGCATTTTTATTATACGTTCGATTGTTTTATTAAATTCAGTTATACCGAATATGGCATCGAATTTATCCTTCAACTTTTTTGACTCGTCCAATGGCCAACTTGAATTCTCTTGATGACAAAACAACACATTATTGATTATAGCTTTAGACACACCTGTAAAAAAATATTATTTGTAAGCAAAGTGATTTCCGACAAATGTAACAAATTACCCATAAACTGACACATAGCCACATCGACATCAACACAACGCTTACTAATAGAATGCGTAGCACTTCCACCAGCTTTACCATCTATATAGTTCATAGTCGCATCTAGCGTTTCAAATGAATATTTACCACGTTTATTGGATATTTTCATAGAGCGACAAACGGATATGCGTTTTCCTTGCAGGTTACTAACTTCCAATTTAATTTGGCCCAAAGTACCAGCTTGATTGAATATTTTTGGATCATGTACAAAACTGCGACCGTGGTCACCACCAGGCGGCACTTCACCAGTGAGTCCATACTTAAGGCACTCTATTATTGTGGTCTTGCCGCAACCATTTTCACCCAGAATCAGTGTAACCGGCGAGGAAAATGTTATGGTCTAGGGAAAAATTACAAATACATTAAACARTGTTATAAAAAGAGAAGCTGGTATACGACCAAGTGGCGCGCACATCTTATATATTTTAAACAAGTTTTCCACAAATGTAAATCTTACCTGAACATCCTCCGAATTGGAACCAAAACTACGTATACCTTGTATGGATAATTTTTCAATAGTGGACATTTTTAAAGAGGCGCAAAAAYTTCACAACAATTCAAAAACAAATCACAAAAAATAAAATGCAAAATTGCGACGTTTTGCCGGGTACGTATGGTAAGGTGACCAGATGTTCTGCTTAAGTTTGTTTAAAAGTTATTGTAACTTTATATACATAGATCAGTTTTATGACTTCAAACAAACAAATAAACATTTTCAAAATGCAAACAAATTGAAAAGTATTTTTATMACAAAATCTGAATGTGTAGCGCAAATATATATTTTGTATGTGACAAACCGAGTTTTCAGCTTTTAAATCATTGTGAATGATATGTTTTGCATTTTATGTAAGGATTTGTTCACAGTAAATTTAAATATATTGTACATATTGTGATATAATTACCGGAAGCATATATTCAATATCCGCTGAAATGCAAACGTTGCAGATGAAATGAATAAAATCATTTAAAATTAAGTGTTCATTTTGACGATAAAAAAGAGTTAATTAAAAATATCTGCGGAAAGTTGTTGTAAATTGTTTATGCTTTAATTGCACGTAACCTGAAAATGGCAGTTTAAAGATCCACTATTAAAGTAGTTGTTGTTGTTGTATTTGTGGTAGAATTATGCCGAGTTGACAGTCCTTGGCCGGTTAAAAACCGGGACCGTTCTGRTTACGTAGACTCGACTTCCGCGTGAACGGAACATTAAACTATTAGTATGTGACGTTAAGCTGCTAGAAGCATGTTTTTGGATACGATTTGCAATAACTATCCAATCAATAGTTTCTTACCGTCTTGAGTATGTTTTCTGCTATGTGTGTATATTTATTATTTAAAGTTTTAATTTCCAGTTTTAATTCAACGATTAGTCGTACATGAGATTATGATTTGTTGTTATAAATACTTATAATGCTACTTAAATTTGAAATAGTTAGTCCTCTTCATTTAAGTCAATTATTTATATATTTATTATTATATTTCTTTACAGAGGCATTCTCATAAAGGTATTTATATATATTTATGTATGTATGTATGTAAATAAACATGGCAATTCGCCAAAATTACGCACTCAAAAAAGTTAGCTTCCCTCATTTATATACAAACACTTTAATGGTTTGCACACCTTTTGACACAACTTTTTTCGAACAGCATGTTGAGGCATAAATTTGTATGTTTTCTTTTTTTTCAATATTTGTATTTTCAGCTTTATTTGTAAGCCAATTGCCACGTGTTGTTATTATTTTACTTATGCTTTGTTTATAAACTTGAATAAATACAAACGAATAAAAATCATATTCATTTTAAATAAACATAACAAATTTCAAAGTTAATTAATATAAGTATGTATATATATATATRTTAAAAAATATAGTACGTCAATAGCCGTATTACAGCAATAACGATAATAAAAATTACAGTTTTTTTTTTCAAAAATTATGTATGTATGCTGAATCGCATTGCTGCTTAAATGATATGCCACAAGGGGATAGTTCCAATTACAACATTGTAATAATGCAGTTATTTTTTGGTCTATCAATTTTAGTTAGCAATTATTTCTCCCTTAACAACTTGCAGCATATCACTTTTAAAGGAACGCAAACCAAAGCGGAAATGCAGAATATCAATTCATAATGTAATAATAACATGTATTGTATAATATTTGCATAGTGAGATTATTAACACTCTTCAAGAGTTTCATAAAATATTAATATTTTGTTTTATATTTTCAGCCGCAACGCGTATTATGACAAACATTATGAAAATGTGTAGAGTTATTTGAGTTAAATGTTATAAAAACAAGGTTATACGCTWTCAACGAACTCAAAAAAATACACAGATGTATGTATGTATATATATTATAAAAGTATATGTTAAGGCTACGCATAAATATCTATATTAGGTCAAATACGGTACAATTGAATTTCTACAATATGTACACACCAAACTTTTTTTTAACCATGAAAGTGTATGTATAGATGGATGTTCGTATGTATGTTATACATAAATGTCGAGAATGTGTATGCGGGTGTATTTATGTATTGTATAATAATATATGTATAACTACGCCTATATAACGCAACCAGTACACTAGTTAACAAATGAAACATTAGTTAGCCGTAATGCTAACATTATAAGGGGTAAACAATATGTTTATGCATATGCATAATTTCATACATAGGAAGTATGGAAAACGAAGCAACAAAAAATAAACTTTTCGAAATCCATTTAATGGCTAGATCTTCCCATTATTTTTTTACAAACTGATACGGCGGCAATGACGAACGGTATCGTAAATTATTTACGTTATTCGATGGTATGCCACTATTTATGGCTGAACCACGCCCGCTATAATTTGATGTATTTGGCATCATACCCGATGGTGAAGCATTGGCAATTGCTTGTGGTGGCATTGTCGAGTGCATTAAGTTTGAACGTTGGGCAGCTGTAAAATATTAAATATATATATGCATAAATGTGCGGAACAAAAAAAATTTATTAAATACATATTATCGAGTATAAAAGCCATTATTTTCACCTGGCACATAAGGTTTTGRTTGGTGATAATTGTTGTTATGCGAACGGTAATAAACAGTCTCATCATTATAATGGTAATTAAATTGCTGTTGATATTTAGGCCTAAAAAGGAAGCGGTGTTGGCAAATTTTTATAATTTTTTGTTTTTAAATATAATTGTATTTTAAAAAAAAAAAAAAAAAAAACAAATTAAAAAATCTACAAGAATGGTATTCAATTGATTTATTACCTATACATGCCGCTGCTTCCAGCTGAACCACCTGACCGATGATTAGAATTATTGTTGTTGCCACCAACTGAATGAGCATTATTTTGTTGTTGCTGCTGTTGTTGGCGTGTTGTGATTTTCTTAGCAGCTTCAGGATCTTCCATTAACTCACGAAATTGTTCTTGTCGTATGTCATCGTGCTTGTCTGGTATTAAATAACGTCGAATTTCCGCTAAAGCATAGGCAATACGTGCATATGCTTCAGCTGGTGGGGCAACAGTAGACACTTCGACATGTAATGGTAAATTAAGATGAGCATATTTGGCATCAGCTGAGTTGCGCAACTCCTCTTCGCGTACACGATCTTTCATCGAGAAACGTCCAAGTATAACAATTTTACATTGCGTTTCCTCCTGCAGCCGTCGCAATGAGTTTCCCTTTGGTCCAAGCAATTTCCCAACGTAATTAAACTAGAAAGGCCATAAATAAAAATAATTATATGAAAACTATAAAGGACTATTTAAAAATGTTTAACAAACCTTTTTATCTTTTATGGGAACATGCACCTTTTGTGACAGTCTAATAGTCCTTTGCTGATAAACATCTGCATATTGCTCGCGTGTAGGTATGCGACCATTTAGCTGAATGCGTTCCAGTGCTGAAAAAAAGTATTTGTTTTCAACAATATATTAATTTAACATGCTTCCTTATGCTGGCTTATCCATACTTACCCTCATCGATCAGCTTTACTGCTAAAGGAAAGTGATTTTCCATACGTGCTCGTTCAGCAAGTAATTCTTGCATATACTTTTGTGCAGTCTCGTTTAACCGCGGCGTGTTCTTAATATTTTCCGCACCTAACTCGTGTTCATGATTTCCATTACTATAGTCGCCAACTTCAGCACCGCTGGCGCCTCCAACACGCATGCCATTTTCCGCCATTCCGTTGCTACCCCTCTAAATCGTTTACAATATTTTCACAATATAACTTTAATACAGCTACTTTAAGCTTAAGCCTGGATTAGTTCATTTACAGAAATTGTAGTTTGCTAGCTATAAAATTCACTTATTTAACATAAATAGTAGTATTTAAAAAAAGACAACGGCATATATGCTGCAAGGCAGACTGAATACCTGTCAAGTCTTTCATTAATTTTCCTCCCCTTGAAACGGCGAATAATTTTGACATTTTCCATATCATTCGCCGCAAAACCAGAGATGCCAAAATTTAATGCAACCGAAGTGCAGGCGGAAATGCACATTTTCAGATAATATGATATTAATATATTATTTTAAATAAATAGTTATGCAAACATTCATCGAGTTAAAGATAATGAAAGTAATTATTTAAAAAACTGAAGTCAGAAAAATAATAACTATGATTCAACTATAGATAACCGAATATACTTGACTTCAGTACTCTTGCGACTGATACAAAAGCAGCCATGCATTCTAAACTTCATGCTCAGTGTTGCCTCTTCGACATAAACAGTTAGTTTGGCAACACTTTTTCAGTCTCCATCTTTTTTCGCACAGAAAAAATCCAAGCTTGTGAAAATTTGACAAAGGCGGAAAAGTGCATAGTTCTTAAAATATAATTATTGTGTAGCAAAAAAAGTTCAATTACTAAAAATGCCAAGAGATTATGATCGGGATTACAATGACGATACCACAGATTACAAAAGAAAAAGGCGCACAGACGATGAAACCGGCGGTGGAAGTAATACCGGAGCTGGCAGCAGCGGTGACATGGATGGGCATGGACGCGGACAAGATCATGGACAAGCAATGCAATCTCATGACGCCCCACCGTTAAACGAAAAAACAAACTCTTATCTTGAGCAATGCGAACAAGAAAAGAAAACGCTTGCCAAAGATCACACTGTTTGTAAGCGCTTAATAGACGACGGTGAGTACGTACATACAGAAATATGTGTACAGTAGGTGGTGGCTGTGACAATATATGTATATCTATTTTCTATGTGTAAATATGCTTAAAACCTTTTTTATTTTCAGAAATTGAGAAAATTTTGGTTAGTGGACGCATACCAAAGCCGGAAATTTACGCAAACGTTTATAGTGAAAAACCAATACGTGTTGCCCAAAAAGTATTATTCCCTATTAAGGAATATCCGAAATTTAATTTTGTTGGAAAAATTCTGGGACCAAAAGGCAATACTTTGCGTCAACTACAAGAAGAGACATTTTGCAAAATGGTCGTTATGGGCCGTAATTCAATGCGCGACCACGCCAAAGAGGAGGAGTTGCGCAACTCTGGAAATCCAAAGTACGCACATCTTAGTCGTGATTTACATGTGGAAATTTCAACGGTAGCGCCACCTTCGGAAGCTTATCATCGTTTGGCATATGCATTGGCTGAAATTCGAAAGTTTATGATACCGGATGCCAATGACGATATACGCATGGAACAAATGCGTGAAATGGACGGCAAAGAGCGTATGTACAAAAAAACTCATTACTCGAAATCATACGGTGAGCATGCTGTCTATAGCTGTCGGTGAGTTTATGTAAAAATCTGATCTCTGATTTTATTTTTTATAAGTACAAAGTAAAGATATTATATAGCATGTTCTATTGTTAGAATTTAGGTACGCTGAAAAGTGAAACGCTTGAACCTGTGTTTATAAAAGATTTGTGCGTTCATGAGTTTTGACTGTCTTTGGAATATTTTCATTACCCAAATACTACATGATTTATAAATTATCATATATTACAGTACGCCGCCACCTCCTGCATTTGAGAAATCATCGAAGCCGAAGGTTTACTCGATTCTAGAGAAAGCACGTTATGTTATGGAGGATCCAGGTTATGGTCTAGTAAAATCTCACAGGTATGAAAAAATAATTATATAGAAACCTTTTTTTATACTCCAAATTTTTTTTTAGAACACGTGATCATGAATTGTACGAGCATCATGGTGAATATGATCGCTATACGCCACCACCACCATCCAAACATTCAAGTACCCATCATGCACCATACGAAAGTGGTTCATATGAGCGTGACTACCGTCGCGAATATCATCCGCACTCATCCTCCTATACAGCTGCTTATCCAGGTAAGTCGCGAACCAAATACATACCTAACTATTTTAATTAAACCGAAAAATTACACGTTTTAATGAAAGCAAACAAAATATATATATATATATTTACAATAAAGTGATTAATTATCACAAACAAACTTCGTTAAAACACTATTTTAAACGCGTAATATACATGTTAAAAAATACCGTAGCTAATTCATAAAAATACCAACAATATATATTGTTAAATACAAACTACGTGAAACGAACGAATTTAAATAAAGTGCAATTAAAGTAACTCAGGACAAAGTAAAATGCGGAACTAACTATAAATGAAATAAAATGTATTTAATACATGAAAACGTACAAAAAAAAATATAAGAATTTTTTTTAACAAATATAAAGAACTTAAACATTATAAATTTTCAACTCTTTACATAAGTATTTTCTACAAAAAAAAAAATATACCAAAACAAACTAAAAGTAATGCAAAAAATAACCAAAATACAACTTAGAAAAGTTTTTGTTCCAAATTTAAATGTCATAAGTTATTTAAATTCGTTGTACCTATGTCAAATTATAATAAATGAAATTAAGAAAGGAAACCAAAGGAAGTTGGAGTTAAAAGTAGCTAAAAAAAATTAATTTAACCAGCCTTTAAATACAATATTTCAAATGCTTCAAAACACATAGATATAACGAAAACACACAAAATTCTCTCCAAATTAGCTAAACCAAGCAACGGTCGATCTTCATCGTCATACCGACCTGCAACATCGGGATCGCACTCTTCCTCACACTACGAAGCAGGATCTCGCTCACGCGGAGAAAGCGTACGTTACCGTTCGGCACCATATCCGAAATTACGTTAAAAATGCAAATATAAAAAGTATTTTACACGTCAAGAGAACAACACTTTTCAAAATGAATTAGAAAACCAACCGTATTGCAACAAAAAAAGAAAAACAGAAACAACAATAACAATATGTGTTAGTTTAATATATTAAATATCAAATATATAAATAAACAACAAAGAAACAAAAGTATGCATATATAAAATATAAACGTACAGAGGTAGAAAATATATTTGGAAGTAAACAAATAAACAGCATAATGGTATTCAATTGTTAATATCAAATTTTACAATTATTCGCAAAAGAATTAAAGTATCGCGTATACAAAAATTTTAAGCAAAACAACAATGAAAAATCATATAAGGAAGAAATTTAATCTTTAATTCAAATGTCATTAGTGTACATTTTACAAAATACAAACATACGTTATCATAGCAAAAAAATAAAATAAAAATTTTAATTGTGACAAACAAACAACAAAAATTAAAACAAATAATATAGACATGTCAAACTCATTTAAATAATACCAATCATCGACAACTTTGGAAATTATGATTTAATTAAAAAAATAATGATGATGATAATAGAAATAAGAAATACAGGAAACTATTAAGAATGTGTGTGCAGTGTTAATATTGGAACGTAAGTATTTGCCGCAGCCAATTTAAATCGCAACTATTAATAGTTTTAATGATTGTACAACATAATAACAACAAGAAATAACAAAGACCAGACTTAATTAAAAATGCGAATGTTAGAATACAGAAAGAATCATATTATTTTAAGTATAACACTAAAAATTCAAAAATAAATGACAAAAAACACATGACACTTTAGCTGGTTTTATTTAAAATTTCAAGAAATATGGTAAGTCGCTTTAAATTATAAATTTTTTTTATATAGTATTTTATTGTTGTTCACCAGAAATGAACAAAAATTTAATAAAATTATATATAACTCACTTGGACGATAATTTGAGGGATACCTGTAACTAAATAAATCGCAGATCTATCACGTACTGTAATAGTACCATTGAAGATATATATCATAATTGAATATGAAGGGATATAATTATCTGATTAATTTATAAGATAACAGAAATTAAGCCATTAGCCATTTTTCTTCCACTAAATTTATTAATAATCGCTTAATATAAAAGTAACACCATTTTATACAGCATTATTGAAGTACTAGATGCTAAAAATTCATGGCGCCATCTAAGAACATGAGGCTGTCCACTGAAGAAATAGCCAAGTCTACATCACGTTTCTGCACTGTTTTTTTTTTCGATTGTGTTGTGTATGAAAAAGCCTCTCGCGCCAACGATTCTATAAAGAGTTCTGTTGATCGTGTCACAAGAAATACGGCTTCGGTCGACGCAATATTCATGTCTGGATCTAATTTCATTAAATTCCTGATACGTGTTAGTGGCAACTGAAATAGGCGCACTTCTGGTCCACCATTTTCACTGGTGGAATTCACCTTTCCTAAGTAATAGAAAATATACATAAACTAAAAAATGGAATTAGAGCAGGTATCAACTATTTACCGGAGGTAGCCGGTTGTGTTATATCGGCACCTTCTGTTTCAATTTCTTTGACTTCAGCCACAATTTCGTATTCTTCATCCACAATTTCCAATTGCTCCTCCTTATCTTGTTTATCTAGAATTTCCTCGGAAATTTCGGCACTGAATAATTCCTCACTAGCCATTTTTTTGAAACCGCGCAAAACTTTTAATAGCTCATCAGCTGATTGATTCGTAAATAAAATGTTTTTAGAGTTACCATTATCACGAAACGGTTTGTTTTTACAGATTGTCATCTGGAATTCAAGATTATTTTTTTAAATAATAGTTAATAAATTTCAATAGCGCGCAATAATAAAGCTAATAAAAGAAATTATTTTTAAATTTTTTGCAATTAGTAGCATTTTGTTTCAGCGGCAAATAGAGTTTATTGTATCCGTTCACAATAGCACTATTTCAGAATATAAAATAAGAACATGATGGTTTCCGATCGCATATTCGCATATTAATCAAAATTCTAACAATAACTAAAATTTTGTACAGAATAAAAAGATATGTTTCAAAAAATCAACAAATTAAACAGGGCCAAACATGTCACTGACATGTGTACACCACATTTTGTTTACTGAATTTTACATAGCTAAAGGATCAGTTTAGGAATAAGTTTACGAAATATTTTCAAATAAAATTAATTGTTAAAATACATGTATGCACTCGAAATTACTCGAATACATTGTGAACGTGCAACACCTGTACAAAGTTATTTTTAATTCACAATGGCATGGATTGATGAACCCCAGAAAACTCACCAACATTTGTAGTCCTTCTTGCGAATTTTGAATACATTCATCAGTTTGCTCATTGTTGGTTGATTGTTGGAAAAATCGAAGCGGTGAATCGGAATCGGAAAGTCGTCGGACGTTGCATTTTCCGACAATTAAAAGTTATTATTTTTTGTTAAAGGTAAAAACCATTATAGGAAAGTTAATAATTTGTGTATATTAAGTGTATGAATGAAGTGCAGCAGTAATTGCATAAAATAAGAAGATGTGAATAATTGTTGGTGGTGGAAATTGCATTGCATCTTGCTGATGTCTGCAGTTGCATGCATAGAAAAATATTTGTGAATGCTAGTGGTGTTCGAAAGTGCTGATGAATGCGGTTACTTGGTATTCATTTATCATTTTTAAAATGAGTAGTTTGTGTTTAATTTATCTTGCTAAATTAATTAGAAGGCATAAATCTTAATTAAAAACAAATTATAACGACTAAATTTTGAAACTTTATATTATTCCAACTTGTATCCGCATATATATGCATATAAAAGTGTAAAGCGATTTAACGGTCCGGTTTTTTGCATCACTTGTCGGCAACTGCATGCATAGCAGAAAGATTGATAGGCTAGTGTAAAATGCACTTAATTTTTTCTATATACCGAAGGTGAAAGTGATAGTAATTGTGTGGAAAAGATACAGAAGTTTAATAATTAAACAACGCATTAACAAAATTAAGCTTTTAATTTATCGAAATAAGTGAATAAAAAACACCGGAAATAGCAAAGCAAATAGAAAAGTCGACATTTTTCTTTGTTGTTTCATTAAATTTGAACACATATACATACGTAAATACTATACGTAGATAGGACACAAAATAATTGGTTTTTATTTTATATATTATATATATATCTTAAATTTTTTTGTACATATTCCAGATTTACTTTCGTATTAGGTTTCCCCTTCACTTGGCTGATTGTGTCGTAGTTGCTGTTCCGTTTATTAACGTTTCGTGAATTGATAACTGCTTTTGGGGGCTGCTCTCCACACATTGTTGTGTGTGCAGCGTGAACATTTGTTGTTGTGTGGTTGCAAGATGACTGACGTCTACGACGGCAACGGTGACTACGCAACATACAACGATGATGATGATTATGGCAAGCAACGTAAAGGCGGTTGTGTACCAGGAGTAGATCCTCATAATGGTGATAGCTCAAATCATGATCTACACCACCATGTGGGCGGAGTTGTTGGCAGCGGTGGTGGAGGCGGTGTGGTCGGTGGTGGGATGGGAATGATGGGAGGCGGAGGTGAAGGTGGTCAATTGAATGATAAGGCGAACGAGTACATTCGCGATTGCATGGCGGAGAAAAATCGTATGGATAGAAAGTTTCCAATTGCCGAAAAATTAATGGACTGTGGTGAGTTTTAGCGGTAGCATCAATTTTATGAAAAATTAAAGTAAGATTTGAAATTATTTTTTGAGCAGAAAAATTTTTTGGTTAATATGTGTACATACGTACATATGTATGTACATATATAATTTAATACGTATATATTTTTTTATTGATTTATGTATTTATTTTATATATGTAATAAAGTTCGCCGCAATGTTTAAAAATCAATCAAGCACTATGTTTCTTATAAAATAAATATAAGATTTATACAATAACATTTATTTYTAATTTTTTCAGAAATCGAAAAGGTCCAATCGATGGGTCGCATACCACCACGCGAACAAAAATATGCAGATATTTATAGAGAAAAACCTCTTCGTGTTTCTCAAAAGGTTTTGGTGCCAATTCGGGAACATCCCAAGGTAAATTAAAATATTTCATTTTAACTACAACTCTATATATTTCAAACTGACTTGTTTGTAGTTCAATTTTGTTGGAAAATTATTGGGACCAAAAGGAAATTCCTTGCGCCGGTTGCAAGAGGAGACACTATGCAAAATGACCGTACTAGGACGCAACTCAATGCGTGATCGCGCGAAGGAAGAAGAATTGCGTTCGTCAAAAGACCCGAAATATGCACATTTAAATAGTGATTTACATGTGGAAATCTCTACAATTGCTCCACCGGCAGAAGCTTATGCACGTATCGCCTATGCAATGGCCGAGCTACGCAAGTACTTAATACCTGATAGTAACGACGTTATACGACAAGAGCAACTAAGAGAGTTAATGGACAATACAGGCATTTCAGACGATGTCACTAAGTCAGCTTATAAGAAAATACCGCATCAGCCGCCTGGTAGTAATCTTGCTGGCGGTGGTGTTGGTAGTGCTGGTGGCGGTTGTGGCACTGCCGGTGTTTTAGGTGGTGCTGGCGGTACGATGGGAGCAGGAGCTGGTGGTACCAATATGTCAATGGGTAAAGGGGCGCCACATCATGCATACAGGTGAGCATATTTTTCTTTTTCTAATTAACAAATTTATACAACCTTGATTTCAACAGAACCCCACAATCCACGCAAAATTTGCAGTTTAATAAAAATACGGTAGCACCTAAGCAAAAGGTGTTGTCCATATTAGAGAAGGCTCGAACTGCCATGGAAGAAACATATGGGTAAGTTTTTTTTTTACATGCTGATTTTTATGAATTATTAATATTATATTGTATTTATATTTTTTAAAGACGCGGCTACGAAGACCCGATCTCATATGAACAGCCCTCTTACGATGCTTACCCCTATGGCCATGGACCGAATACTCATGCACATACTGGACATGTGCCAAGTAATACCGGCATAGGCACTGCAAATATGGCACCGCGTGGCCCCTATGATGTTACCGATTATGAAACAGATTACAATAGAAGAGACTATTATCCCAATTCGTCGAATTTCGGAGGTTCGTTGTATGCAAATAACGTTTACTATCCAAATACAATAAATTATGATTAACAATTTGAATTGTAAAATTTATTCAAATTATAAATAACGAATAAAATTATTATAATTTTTTACTTATTTATTCCTTACACAAACATACAAAATTGTTTTTTTTTTTTGTGTTTTGCAGGTGGCGGAGCTTCGACTATGCATTCAAATCACAACACTGGCATAAACCCTAATCATAATCGAAGCCACGTTAATAGGTGAAATTCGTTCGCCAAACTACACACAAATGCAAGTATTGTTGCGTCGCACATTACCACAGCAGCTACAGCAGTCACCACAAATAACACCTCCCCAACCACCAAAGTCGGACAGTGTATCAATAACATTACCAACAATTATTACAACAACAACAATAACAACATTAATAATACTAATAATAAAACCACCATTACATCCACACAACCCCTATTTAGTAACAGTCAACAAAATTCGACGCTCATAAACCAACAAAACTCAATTGGGCAAAATGTTGGCGGCGGTGGTGCTAATAATGTTGCAAAGCATATAAGTATGGTAACTGGTTTAGGGCCCACAATGCAACAGCAATTTAATACGAATGCGAAAAATAACCACACTCAACTGTTGTCACAACAGCCACAACAACAAAAACAGCTGTCAGCGAATACGCTGCAACAAACGCCGCAACAGCAACGGCATCAACAAACCCACCCACCGCCACCACGTCAATCACACTCTTACCCTTACAACAACAATAATAATAATAATAATAGCAACAATAATCTTAATCTTAACATAAGCAATGTTGCGCCCAATATATCCGGCAACAATATGTCGAAATCACAACAACAACAACAAACTTACGCGGCAATCACGTCAACACAACAACATCTTAACGGTGCATTAACGACAACAGTCAGCACCACACAGAAGCCGCTCATACAACCACTACATAAACAACAGCAGCAGCACCATACAACGGCTATAGCCAGTAATAATAGTAAAATTGTTGGTCCAACTATGTCAGCGACTAATATGTTCTTTGTAAGGTACTAAAAATTGTCGGATATGTATATATGTACTATGTGTGCATATTTGAATATGGCTAGAGTGATTTCTGAAAATACTATTTTTTTGCGACATTTAAATTTTCTAAAAACATGCTTTTCTGAGAATACGATTTTGTAAAACATTTAACATATAATCATACATTATCAACCGTAAATTTCTTAAGTCAGTATATATACTTGTTTTTTTTTTTTTCTATATATTATAGGCCAACAAATCCAGCACCACCACAACCATTACACATTGGTGAATTGCAACCTTTTGTACCGGTGCAGCTCTTTTAAATTTTACACAGCTTAGCTACGTATGTCTCAAAGAAAAGAGAAGGAAGAAAAGAAACGGCAAAAATAAAATCCTTCTGCGACAACAGCAACACAGGAAACATAGAAAAGCATAATTTATCCTTACATTTATAAAAAAAAATTGCTTTCATTGGGTTGCTAAAAACAAAAAAGGAAACAAATGTGTCGAAAAGCTTACATAGAGACAAACTTGCATTAATTTACAGAAAACAGAAAATGTTCCAGTGATTAACAATGTGAAATTTCGCATTGCAGTGAACAGCGATTTAAATAAGTAATAACAAGTAAATATAGATTTCTATGTTTAAATCAACGAAATAGGGAAAAGTACGACAAAAACAAAATAATCTAAAAAATGATATAAAAGTAAAATACAAAACRTGACGTTAAATCAAGCCCACTTACATACATAAACACATACATACAATGTATTTACATACAAACATTTACATATATGCCTGTGGGCTAATGTTTAAGACGCATATTATTTATAAAAGTAAGCTCTTATCTAAAAAAAATGATATTTATATATTTATATTCTTAATGAAACTAATAGCAAGAAAAAATACAATAGGATAAACATTTAAACAAAGCGAAACAAAAAGAAACGCTAATGGCAAATACCAGAACGGCTAAACTTATCGATAAAATAGAGCGCTTATAAAGGGAGTAGAATCAAAGATGACATGAAACATGCAAACAGAATTACTTTCAACAATTTTACAAAAAAGTAAACAGAAAAAACAAAAACGAATGAAAATAGTAAATATTGAAATTAATTAACAAAACCATATAAACTTATAATAATAATAACCAGTAATTGTATGTGTTAAAAGCCTATTTATTACATATTTTAAGCTCAAATTGCAAATTAGTAGCTAAAAAGTATAATACTATAATGGCATTAAAATTGAAAAATTTAAAATATAAACAATTCACATTAAATCGAACATGGCTAATACTAAAAGAACATGAACGGCACATAAAATTACAGAATTTAAGCAAACAAATACATACAAAAACGCATACATAAATATGTAGTAAATGTAATGAACGAAACTGAATATTGATTTAGAGACAAATGCGGTACAATATGTTATAAAGATGAAACTTATGCTTTGATTTTCTTTTTTGTTTTTTTTTTTAATTTTTGTATTTTTGTTATTTATTTTTGTTATTTATTTTTT